CATGTGGTGAGATCAAGTAAAAAATATTTTTAATATGTTTCTTACACCTTGAATACATACGAGTGTGCATGTTAAAAAAAATATTTTAGAAAATATTGATAAAAATTAATATTCAAAAATACATATTTTATGTTTTTCAAAATATCTAAAAATAAAATGTATATGATAAAAGGTTTTTATTTATTTATTTATTTTATTGTTTTTTTTTATTTAACAACATTTATTATTTATTCATAAATATGGGAAGTCACACCACATGACATTTTACCTGAACTTAAATTAGCCTTGCCTTTTCAAAAAGGTCAAATTATTTGATATTTTAAAGGGGTCATATGATGCGATTTCAAGTTTTCCTTTCTCTTTGACCTTGACACACAGTCATGAGGGTCTGCAGTGGTCCTCTCTATGATATCATTTCCTTTTTCTTTCTTTCTTTTTTAAGAATGTTTCTCTGTGCTGATTGCATCACATGATTTTCATTTTTAAAACTTCCTTTTCATTTTTTTTAAAGAAATAATAAAATATGGCAACCACTTCATTCTTTTAATGAGCCTTTTTCTTCAATATGAACAAAAACGTAAAAATCGAAATGAATTGTATTGCTTATATCAGATGTTTAAAATGATGTCTCAGCCTTATGAAGTGCGCTTGAAACAGCAGCAGCGGTGCCATCATGAAGGCTAGATTTGGCTCTTTCATCCAGCATGGCTGTCATTTGGGGAAACTTGTTTAGAATGGCAGCACTCTCTCTCTCGCTGTCCCTTTCTCTTTCTCTTTTGGCAGCGTCAGTACATGCTCGCTCCTCTTGACATAACAAGGTCCGGTTCCCAAGCCCCTGCATCAGATGCGGGCAGCAGATAGCCCCAGCGATAAGTGGCTTTTCTCCTCTCTTTTATCTCGCATGGAAGAGCTTTGCCTTGGAGCTTTGCATTCACAACATTGTGGCAGCCCCTTGCTTTTCCATATCATTAAAAGCCCCCAGTGTCTAGCAAGGCTGGCATGATGGCAAAAGGCCTGCTAGTGGCAAGAACACAATAAGTGGGGCTGGAAAGCCTCCAGAATCACATCGTACCGAGCTGTGGCAATGCCTCACCATAATGTGTAACCCAAGTGTGTGCAATGCCAGATATTTGGATCCACCACCTTTGGATTTATGGCAGTGTGTGTGTGCATGTGCCTCAAGTGATCCTTTGGTACAAAGACTCGGGGAAAAAAGTATGCAAGACTTCCTGTGAGGCTTAAAGAAATGCTCACATGCTGCCATCTCGACTATTAATAGCAAAATCTGCAAATTCACTGAACTCTGCCACAGGAAAAATTTACTTGCTTTAGTGTGTGTGTGTATATATACAAGTATGAAATGTTTATAGAAATTCGTTCTTTCTGGGGTTTTTTTTGTTTGTTTTGTTTTTCCAAACAAAGTCATTTTGAATTGTCAAAAGTGGTTTACAAAACTATATTAGATTAACCCGCTGATGCATGGTGTCTATTTTTTACCATTGAGGTTCTGACGTAACATGCAGACCACCATTGATGATGACCTTTAACCCTTACCTATAACTCTATCCCCCGGTTTCACAGACAAGGCTTAAGCCTAGTCCTGGACTAAAATGTAATTCTGAGCTGTTTCAGCTGAAAGAAACTTGCACTGACTGATCTTAAAATATATCAGTGCCTTTGTTTTGTCTGAAGATGCACACCAGTAATGTTTTTTCTAAGGCATGTTTATAAAAATTACTTAAATGTCCTAACTGAGCTATGGCCTAATCCTGGTTTAGTCTAAGCCCTGTCTGTGAAACCAGGCCTATATGTCTCTTCTTTATTGTCATAGTGTTTTTTTATTTTTAACAACAAATTCAACATGATCGTTGAAAGTGGTGAATTATACCTCTTTAATATTTTCTGAAATCTTCTACTGCAGTGAACTCTCTCAAAACACATTACTTTGATCAAAGTAAGAATAATTATTTTCTTGTTTTGGGGAAAAAAAAGAAACATGAAGATGTTTTTCTCCTTTGGGATTGAATTATTCATGCATCAGAGGGTTAAAAATGAAAACATTAGACGTTTTTCTACCAGTGAGTGCATTTATGTCCTTGCACAAAGCTTTAGTGTGTGAGCAACGTTTCAAATTTTCTCAAATGATGTTTACCAGAATATCACTGTTCATCTTCAGTATTGTTGCATATTTTCTCCAGTTTAGATCTGTCAAGGTCTCTGCCTAAAAGCAGCTTCAGATAGCTGAATGTGAAGATCTTCTGAATATCAAAGTTTTAAGTGACAAAGGGAAGACGACAGCAGGTGAATGAGGAGCGGAGTGCTGTGAGGAACTGAAGTGTGTTTGTTTAGAATTCTCCATGATGCTCCACCTATTTGGGAAAGCAGGAAGGAGTGTGTGTGTGTGTGTGTGTGTGTGTGTGTGTGTATGTACATGAGAGAGAGATCTTTTTGATATTTCTCAGCACGAGCGTCAGTCTGTTTATGATTCAGCTGTCTCCTCATCATGCCTGTTAACACTCGCACCACCACCCGCCCGAACCAGCAGCGCAAAAAATCAATTTATTGTGCAATCGTGTGTTTGGCGATGGAACCAATCAGTGGTTATTTTTAATGAGGTTATGGAAGCCACTGTAAATTCACAGATCGATATTTCACCATGAACCATAAACAAGTTCCTGATGTGCTTCGGGAGAGTTTGAGAAGGTCAGAAGCAACAGGAGAAATGTGTTCCTGGAAAGACAGTGAAGGATGGGTTTCACGCACGCACACACACAGTTGTGATCCCTCAACATATGCTGGGATGTTCTGCTCAAACTGATATATGTCCCCTCTGTAATCTGTTCATGCTTGATTAGAAATAAATATCTCCGCAGCGTTTACGTTGAAGGTCAGGAGCTCCAAACTTTCAGGAGATTTATTCCTTTTGATAGTATAAACAAGTGATTAGACAAACAAGTCTCTTGAACTTGTTTGAAAGGACCTAAAATACATTTGTCCGCTTAATGTAAACGTGGCTGTGGAGAGATGGAATTGAGGTAACAGTTTGGGAGTGTGGCTAATCTATAACAGGTGGACCTGATTTAGACTGTGAGAGCTGAACTACAGTAACATATCCAGAGATGTTCCGCCGCATGGAAGTCATTTACGGCACGTTTTATGGTACGTGAGTGTTTGTGTGTGTGTGAATGAGAGTGCAAACATCTGAAAGAGCCATTAACCGAGGGCAAAACAAGCAGCCTTTAAGAAAGCACTTGATGTGGGTTGCACTGTGAGGAAATCACCGTGCCAATAGTTTGTCTAGTTAAAGGACAGACAGGCAGGTGCTGGAGAGGGCAGCTTGTCTAGATGAGAGGACAGGACCTTATAGTGAACAATGAAGGCAAATGGACCAGTGCCTGCAAGTGCTTCCTCGCTTACAGAGCTGTGAGTGCTTTCTCCTGTTTTCACTTAGATACATGTTGCTTTATAAAAAAGGAAGGACACTTTTAGAAAATATTGTGCTCTTGGTTAAATTTGGGTTATTGGATGGATGGATGCACCTCACAAAAGCATGTTTTCATCATATTTCATCAAAACCTTTAGTGTGTGTGTATATATATATATATATACACACACACACACACACACACACACACATATATATATATATAATTTATTCCTTTGATGGCAATCACTTTTGATCAGTTAATGCATATTATTTCTTCCACCCAAAAAAAAAAAAAAACATGTCTTACTGACTCAAAACATTGGAGTGGTAGTCTAAATATATTGAATAGAGGAAATTAAGTCTTTTTGTGCAATTATGATGGCATTACTTTACTGTAATATGTCTTGATGTTTTACATTTGATTTAGTTTGCGATTTATTTTTGTTCTCTTTAGATTTACATTAATACAGGCATGAAAACTCATAATGACTTTATTTTATAAGTATTTTATGAGTATATTTTATTTGTATTAATTAAAAGCGGTACAAAAAATACTAACATGTTTCTTTCATTTTTGTCGATGAAAGATGACCTTGACATATCATTGACAGGCTTTCTGAGATTCACCCATAAATTGCTGTAAGGCAGTAAAACTTGTTTTCAGAAAATATATCTTTAAAAGTGTCATCTTATTTCATTGGCATATTTATTACTTGTTACTGTATAAGCGTAAAAACCTTGATGCAATTTTTTTTTTTTTTATTTTGTCAACCACCATTTATTTTGCAGTCAAAGGCATATACTCACAGGACTCACACATTCACGCATTCGCAGCCTCTGTAGGTCACACTGACTTTCAAACTGATTCACTCATGCTATCTTTTGCCTCTCCTCCCATTCTCTCTCTCTCTCTCTCTCTCTCTCCCTTTCTTTTTCTTATGCTCTGAAAGCTGCATTCTCATGAAACACATACTATGTAGAGAGAAAATCGAATGTGAAGCATGAAAAATTATTTTATGGTGCCACTGTGTTCAAAGCTTGGATTAAGGGTGCAATTTTATATGAAGTTTATGATTTATATGGAATCAATTCACTGACTAGATTTGCGGTTCTTGTGAGCATGATCAACTTTTTCATTGATAACTGTTGCTACTGTACTAACCCAGAGAAATGAACAAATGCAAACTAAGTTGTTTTCAAAGAGGTCTATTTTAAGTCCTAGTCAAAGATATTTTTCAATCATTCCCCTTCTCATTACAGTATTACAGTGTAAGTTTGGTTTTCCGTGTGTTCTGGTTTGCCATTCTCTCTCTGCATAATGGTGACCTAGATAAGAAAATATGCATTGTGGTTATTCATTCCAGCTTATTCTGTTGTGTTCCCTGTGATTTTCTGCCCAACAGATTTAGCCTTTGTGTGTTAAACATTGCTCCTTTGCTGCTGTTCGGTTTGAATGGAGGCCAAATAAAAAGTTGAACTACAGAATATTTCAATTGCCCGTGTACAGGAGTTGTTATGTCAGTCATCCTAATGTTTGGCTTCAGCAGTCTAATGCTCTGAATCTCTGTTGCAGGTTCTGGCAGGGCGAGTATACGGTGGCCGTGAGCATCAACGACTATCTGGACGTGTACTGTCCGTACTACGAGAGCCCCCAGCCTCACAGTCGCATGGAGCGCTACATCCTTTTCATGGTGAACCATGATGGTTACCTCTCCTGTGAGCACCGCATGAGAGGCTTCAAGCGGTGGGAGTGTAACCGGCCCCAGAGTCCTGACGCTCCCCTGCGCTTCTCTGAGAAGTTTCAGCTCTTCACCCCCTTCTCACTTGGTTTTGAGTTCCGACCTGGACACGAGTACTATTATATATGTAAGTGTGTATTTTCAGTGCTGTTTCAACAGTGACATGAGGTGGATTTCTGAAATGAGAAGTCAAAGTCTATTGTCGCAGTCGTTCCCAACTTTTTTGAGTCCCCATGGTCCACAACTGTGTACAATCCGACATTTCTCATTTCTGTAAATTAAATTTTAGTATTGTACAATTTTTAAGAACTGAATGTTCTTCAGGGACTCCACTCTTTTAAACAATGAATTTACATGACTTTTTCAGTCGTTCATGATTTATTGGATAAGGACTAAGCATAAGGAATTTTAATCATTTTTTTACACGATTTCTACCCTTTAACATATTTTAGAGCTTGGCATAAATAGAATAATTTATATTCATTAAGTTTCAAGATTTTATTAATTTACTTTTCTAGGATTTTCTAGAAATCATACTTTTAAAATACTTTTTTTTTCTGGGGCCGGTTACTACCTCAAATCAGTGTTATTTTAGTATTATTTATAATTATTTATAGTATTTATAGTATTATATACTCTCATAGTTTTCATTATTATTTCAGTTTTTATTCATTTTTATTTTTAACATATATTTTCAGTTTTCATTTTCAATTAACTTAATAATTACATTTGTCATTTCTATTAGTTGTTTTATTTTTTTTTAAATAGTTTTAAATAGTTTTTATTTTATTTCAGCTTTAGTTTTATTTCCGTTAGTAATTTTAGTACTTTGACGTGTTTCAGTTAGTTGATGCAAGATTTCTAGTTTTGTTTTTTGAAACAATGAGGTTTTACATTAATAATTACACATTTCCATTAATAAAACATTAATTTTTTAGCATTTTTGTTTTAGATAATAACACTGCTACATATTTCCAGGTTGAAAATAAGAATGAATGAAAATAAGCATGAATGAAAATAAGAAATATCTTCAGTTGTCTTTTAGTGCTTGTTCTTTCTTTTTGTAAATAATTTAGTCATCTTTTGGCCCCCTTGGAGGTTTGCTGGGGCCCCTTAATGTCCCCCGGACCCCTGATTGAGAACCACTACTCTGTGGGTTGTTTTTTTTTAAGTCCAAAATAAATTCAAGCTCCATTTCCATTTGATGTTTGCACAATTTTGAGGTTAAAGGCATATGGAACATCATTTTACGTTTAATCTAATGCTAATATAATTTTTAATTGATATTGATTGAAGTTTATGAATAAAAAATAATTACTGCAATAAAACATAAGCACATTTTGTGTAGTAATTATTGGCTGCAACTAGCTGTTGTTTATTTATAGTCACCTGTTTTGGAATTGGTCAACAAATGCTTGGTAAACAAGATTAATGACAGTCAAAGACAAAAAGGTACATCTTTAATTAAATCAATCTGAGTGATTACTATACATAATTCCAAATTTATTTTGATTAGCATGAGTTGTTTAGGTTGTAATTAGTTCATTTCCACCAGACTGACCTATTCTTGTGGATTTGTGGACCGGCCGTGAACATGACAGGCAGGCATTATCACATTGACAGGGTCAATCAGCCAATCACAGAGATGTTCTGTGACTTTTCAGACTCCTTTCACGTTCATGATCTCTGAGAACACAGTGAGCTCCAGGGGAGCAAAAGAGACGCTGCCTCACTCTGAAACTTCATCCGCTGGTGAACTTTAGAAAAATTAGTGCTTTACGAGTGCTTTGAGCTCCTATTTCATACTATTTGTTTTGTTATTTCTGTTCTGTCATTTGAATTTTTTTCTTGTGTCCTCAGAAAAAACGCCCCAGAATTACAGGACATTTCGAAGGATAAGTTAATAGTTTATGCGAAGCAATAGAAATGAAGAAATAAAGATCCTTTAATCTGAAAAGCTCTAGCATTTCCTAAATGAGAAACATCCAGCAGCTCTTTCCCATTAACCTCACAAAGCTTTAAACTGGTGGGTTCAAATGGGAAACTTGTCCTTCACGCGTTTGTTTTACTGTCCTCCAGTGAAGACAATTTGGTGTGGCTAAACCAAATTAAAAGTAGCCATTAAACAAAAATCATATTTTTTTCATGTCAACCGCCTAGCTGTTTTAATAAGATAACATGAAAGACTTGTATCAGGAAGATGCCGGGAGAAAACAGGGAGAGGCAAGCAAACCAATCATTTATATGGTAATTACAATTCCTGACATGGGAGGCTGTGGCGTGGGCAGATGTGGCTGGGCTGGGAGCCACCTGTGTACAGTACAGAGAGCCTGGTGACTTTGAGCTCTCGCCGGCTTTGTGTCGCAGAGCCGCACTGTCCATCAGCAGCCATCCCCTTCCTCTATCCCATGGAGATTGCCACAGATCCTACATGCTTTTCATTTGACTGCTGATTATTCCCTGATTGACAGCTCAGACTGAAAGGGAGTGAAGCAGGCGCGAAGGGGGCGTCGTTCTGAGTCAACATCCCCTCCACCCAAACCCCCCTAAATCAGCAGGGCATAGCTCTGCTTATCATACATGCCGCAGTGTTGTCTCCGCACACGAGAGAGAGCGAGAGAGAGAGAGGGGAAGAGATGCCACAAAAAGCAGGCAAAAAAGTTCAAAGGTTCCCTTCAACTCTGTTTCTTCCCCTGTCCCCACAAACTGATTTTTAATGCATCTGCTTCGCAGCTTCCAGCCTGGTTTTGCATTGTGAAGGCTTTTGTTTCAGGGCTGGAAAAGGCCTTCGGACACCCCCGCTCCCCCACCAAGGCAACTCCATTCAGCACCCGAGCCACTCCCTGAGAGGATTGTTTGGATACCGGCAGCTCTATGGGCGTCATTTTCCCTAAGGGGATTGATGCTTTGCGGCGGTGTCATTGGGTCAGCGATGAGCGATGGATCTGAGAGGTTATCACTGGGAAATGGGGGCTGATCTCGATTGTCTGCCGGTAAAAGAACACGTCCATCAGACCTGGTCAGACTTAACCCCCGGACTTCCATCTCTCCCCCCGTATTGATCGGCTGTGATGACATTTTGACAGGCATCTTCTACACAGCTGCCGGCGGTTGAGGTTGGGTGCTCTCCAATGAACCTAGGATCCGGTGTGGTGAACATGCCACAAGAATACACAATGACCTGGGATGGGTGAGGGGGCACTGGGGGAGGGAAGATGACAAACTCTAGACAAGAGTTGGATGTTTTTGTTTTTTTTCCAGGGATCTATGTAAAATTTGAGTATAGATTCTAAAATCATCTAACATTACACAAATAGTGGTTAAAAAAACAGATGCATTGTCTACTTAATATGTAAAAAGTATGTAAACAATCATTTCAATTTAAAAGAATAATTTGATAACCAAAGTTAAGTTTTGGATTTAAAATGGTGATAAAACAATATATATAAATATAAATAAAAGCCAGTAATTTATTTTTGGAAACACCATGTAATCTCTTTATCACACTTAATTATTTTATATACATAAACAACAACAAAAAAGGGTAAATATACAAACATAAACAAAAGTTTGGGGTCAGTAAGATTTTTTAATGTTTATTAAATATGTTTTAATAAAGTTTAGAATAAAAATATAGAAAAAAAGTCTTCATAATCCTTCATTCTAATATGCTGATTTGGTGCTCAAGAAATGTTTCTTATTATTACCAATGTTGAAAACAGTTGTGCTACTTAATATTTTTGTTGAAACCATGATACATTTTTGTCAAGATTATTTGATGAATATAAAGTTATTATAAGTGTCTTTACTGTCACTTTTATTAATTTAATGCATCCTAGCTGAATAGAATTATTAAATAAAAAAGTCTTACTGACTCCAAAAGTATTTTATAATATTCCACTTTACATAAAGCTTAGATAAGTATTATATATAAAACTTTGTCCATTTTTTAGATAATATGGAGATGGTGAAGGAAGTGAAGAGGGAGACAGAAGGGATGGGAGTGAAAAAGGTTGATTATTTAATTTGTTGGTCCTTGCCATCAAAAAATGAAACCCTTTGCTCTTGATCAATCCCACTGTGACTCGTGCTACAAAACCTTGAGAAGGACATTAAAATAGGCTGCTGGGTTTTCTTGGTGGACATTTGACTGCGGCCAAGTTCAAATAAATGATTTCACTCTCCCCTTCTTTCTCGCCAGACCCTTATAAGGAAATAAGCAGTAGATTTGTTGTGTCTGTAGAACACAGATGAATGAAGTAATCTATCGAGCAGAGATGAACAGTGTTGCTGATGTTCCGCTGGAGCCGATCAGTCGGTTGACTGCTGGCTGACTCGATAGTGACTCTTTGCTCTCAGGTCACTGAGTGCTATGTGGGGTAATTTGCTATGGGAACTTTATTTGCTTTGTTCTTTATTTGGTTGTCAAGGGGTCAAACTCGCTCAGAGGCTTGAGAGACGTTCACAAGTGTCACCAAGAGGATCTTAATCAGATTCATTGGCTTGTTGAATGGTTCTGTTTGTCACAAGCACATTTAGCTCATTATTTCTCTTCAACTTCCTTTTCAACAGCCTCTCCTCATCCTAACCACGCTGGCAAGCCGTGTTTAAAGTTGAAGGTGTACGTGAAGCCTACAAGTAAGTCGTGCTCTAACTGTTTCACCCTGCCAGCGTAGAAAATAATATCCCCTCATGTCTACATGCCAACCTTCTGTAAGACATAACAGGAATGCAAATAAGCAGTGTTTGACACATTTTCCAGGAACATTTTGTTAATGAGATGTCATATTTATTTCCAAGCTGCGAGAATGTGTTCAAATGCAGACTGCATCCATCAAAACAGCAGCTGAGGTCTAATGGGAACTATTTAAATTTACCTTCATCACTCACCATTGGAAACCTAATATTAAAGGGATAGTTCACCCAAAAATGAAATTTTATGCCCATATGATGGAAGTCAGTGGTCACCAAAACAGACAAAATATCTTCTTTTGTGTTCCACAAAGTCATACAGGGTTGGAACAACAAAAGGCTGAGAAAATGAGGATGCCATTTTTATTTTTGGGTGAACTGTCCCTTTAATTGTTGATAAATGCAAGTCAAATTTGAAAAAAGTGTCAGATAATGCCATCAGTTAATGTTACATTCATAGTTGTAACTGTTCTTGTTTTCCGCATTTTAAAAATAACAGCTCAGACAACATTTTTACTTGTCACAGTGTTATTCACAGGGTTATTCATTCTGCCAGTGATGTAATCGCTGGTGCTCAGTTGCAGTATTGTTGGATGCTATTAGGGATTTCTACCCAACTACAGTATACAGTACAGTTGTATTGTGGATAAATATTTTATCTTGTAAGAAAACAAGTGAATAAAGTACCATCTTACTTAAATTCGTATAATGAAAAAGATGGTAACACTTTACAATAAAGTTCCATTAGTTAATGTTAGTTAATGTATTAATTAACATGAACAAACAATGAACAATAGATTTATTACAGTATTTATTCATATTTCTTAATGTTAGTTAATGAAAATACAGTCATTCATTGTTTGTTCATGTTACTTCACAGTGCATTAACTATTGTTAACAAGCACAACTTTTGATTTTAATAATGCATTAGTAAATGTTGAAATTAACATTAGCTAAGATTAATAAATACTATAGAAGTGTTGTTCATGTTAACTAAAGTAGTTAACTAATGTTAACTAATGAACCTTATTGTAAAGTGTTACCAAAAAGACTGAATAATTGGCTGAATAACTCACTCAGAGAAGAAAATTAAGCAGTTGTGTTTGTTTGTTTTTGTGCCAATTTCTCCACATATATATCTCCATATATCTCTTTTGAACACAATATGAAAATGCTACTTTATTCACATATCTTCACAAATCATACACTACTGTTCAAAAGTTTAGGGTCAGTAGGTTTTTTAAATTACAAAAAAACATCTATTTGGCAAGGACACATTATATTGATCAAAAATGACAGTAAAGACTTTTATATTGTTTTAAAAAATCAGTTGAATTGAATGATTTCTGAAGGATCATGTGACACTGAAGACTCGAGTACTGACTGCTGAAAATGCAACTTTGCGTCACAGGAATAAATTACATTCTAAAATAAACCGTTATTTTAATTTGTAATAATATTTCACAATATTACTGCTTTCACTATGTTTGATCAAATAAATGCATTCTTGGTAAGCATAAGAGACTTCTTTCAAAAACAAAAAAAGGAAAAATCTTAACCCCAAGCTTTTGAATAGTATTCTTGTCGCTTTGTCATTTCAAATTGTTTAGGACAACAGCGCTTACCCTCCAAGTGGAAATCTAGTGTTTATTTTAAATTCATTGGCACAGATACGTCAGGTCCGTGTAATCTATGAAAACGGTGTGTGAAATGTGAACCAGATCCTCCGCTTCAGTAATTAAACTCTAATTAGGTCAGTGCTGTGGGCCCCTGCTGCTTTGAGTAAAGGTATGCATTTCCTAGCGCTTCCTCTCCGTGTGCTGTCTCTCTGTGTTTGTGTGTTTCAGATGGTTCGGGCTATGAGTCTCCAGAGCCATTCCTGACTGATCAGAGCCAGCGCTGCAGGGTAGATGGCCCATGCCTAGCTGTGCTGCTGTTGCTGCTGGCCTTTCTGCTGGCCTGCATTTAAGAAGCTCCGCCACTCCCTACCGCTCTCCCTCCATCCATACTCCCTCAGGGAAGCCCTCTCATCCAGACCCCCGGCTCACAGGCTAACACGCAGTCAGATTCACGCATCTTCTTTTTTACTGAACGAGCTCCTCGCCACTGATCCGAGGACAGAGACGTTCGCCCTGCTTAGCGGCTGTTGTAAAGCTGAACACCTGGAGTCTGTCGTGGAATGTGACCTTTTATATATGCTGTCATGTAATCGAGGCTTGTATTCATGTGCCATTTAGTCACGTTTCAGGGCGTCGCAGTTTACAAAAGATTTCTGACACTCATTTGGATAGCTATAATGCCCCCCCACACCGTCTTTACACCATACTCAGCCCAGAAATAAAGGGTACTTTATCCTCTTAATAACAAATGACACCAAAGGACTCTCTTCAGAGTTTTAGTTTCCGTTTGAAGGGAGAGAAGAAATGTGTTTTGTGGTAGCCAGCAGCTAGGGACTTAGTGTTAGACATTCACATGCATGTGAAACACTGTGAAACAGAGAAAAACTTACAATAGTAACAATATATTTTTATTAGCAAAAACAAAACAAAAGTAGACCTTCTAGCCACTCTTCTGGTGCAAGGCTCAGCTGGTGGAGTTTGGATCAGATGCAGCCAAATGTCAGTGCTCACTGCTGGCCCTCGCCTCAAAACTGGGTGTCTGCTGGCGGGACAAGGACTCCGAATTTCTGAGATCGCTTTGGTGCAAACCCAAATGCCGCTTAATAAAACTCTGCATTGGTTTTTCTTTCCAGCTCTGTGGGACAAACAAGCAATGGAATGCAGTGAGTGTTTTAAAAAAAAAAAAGATCTGTGAGGAGCAGGGACTAGCCACTTTTAATTCACCGACGCACGCACTGCGGGCATGGACGAAAAGGAAATGGACTTTTTGTATTCTATTTCATGTTATTTTTGTAGCATTTAAAAGCAACATTAATTATTCATGTGATATGAGGAACGGTTTTAGCGTCTTGAGTGGCGATACAGTGTGTGAGTCAGCATTCTGACATATTCAGAAGGGCCCACTCTCTCACTCTTTACTGTTGTTATTGTGATCTTGTCAAACTGTATTCAGTATTTAAAGAGACAGAGAGCATTTCTTTCCATCTGATTCAATTGTGTGCTCTTTTTCATGTGACGTTTTGTACAGCCAACATGTTCTGTCAAACTGAAGAAACATGCTGAAATGAGAAATAAAAAATTAAAGCATTTTTGTCTACAAGATGCACAGATAGGTGCATTGTCTGAAGCTGACAAGTGACATTTTGGCTCAGCTTTGTATAGCATAGATGTAAACCCTATTAAATATTTAGAATGGGATGCAGACATCAGTGCTAAAGAGCTCTTTTGATTTTTTCCCCCTTCCCAAATCACTTTGCTAAACACTTCTGTTTCACTGTGCACTGTGTAAAGTTCATTGTGTGCGATGTCTAAACATTGATTTTTAGGTATTTTTCTCTGATTTAGTTCTGCAACATTTTAGAAAAATATGCACTCATGAGAATACCTGATATTATCGCATATATTGAGACAAAAAAAATCTTTTCACTTTTGTTCAAGGTGATTAAGTTAGCAGTTTTTCAGTAGCACTCTTGTAAGAAATTAATACTGTTATTTAGCAAGGATGCATTAAATTAATAAAAAATGACAGTAAAGACAGTTTATAATGTTACAAAATATTTCTCTTTCAAATAAATGCTGTTCTTTTGAACTTTCAAATTCACCAAAGAATCTTGAAAATGTGTCATGATTCCCACAAAAATATTAAGCAGCACAACTATTTTCAACATTGATAACAATCAGAAATGTTTTTTTAGCATCAAATCAGCATATTAGAATGATTTCTGAAGGATCATGTGACACTGAATAGTAATGTGTAATGATGCTGAAAATTTAGCTTTGCCATCACAGGAATAAATTACACTTTAAAATATATTAAAATAGAAAACGGTTATTTTAAATTGAAGTTTTATTTTTTTCACATTTATTTCTGTGACGACTTTGGTATGTTTTAGCCATTTATTTATACAAGTATACGCTAAAACAATATAGAATTTGTACAACCGTTATAACTAACAAAAATAATAATGCTAATAACATATATTTTGTCATACTTTTTTTGTGATTGTCATACTCTTTGAGATAAGAAAAACTTTTTCTTAGCCCTGTTATGCCCAACCATCATATTTTTTTTCATCCAATGTCCTGAAATAAGACCAGCTTCCACCTAAACAATCTCCTACCTAAACCATGTAAAATGTGATGAAACCTAACGTATTTAATACTTTAGCAGCAGTTATATAGATTATTTTTACACAGACATGTAATATGATTGTCGTTTGATGTTGTGTTTTCGGAATGCGAGACGGCTGGAATGAGTCACGGTCATACATGACTTGACATTTCTGGGCTTTGGCCTGGATGCTCATCCAACTATTAGTTGAGGGATCAGTAGCCTGGCTGGGCTCAGAAAAGTGAATGTCCTATCTGAATATTTTATGCAATGTAGACTATGATAAAAAATACATGCGCTAGAAAAGCATCAGTGCAGGATTTGCAGACTTGGAGATGGCACTGCAGATGCAAACCAAACAGCCAAACAGCTCCAGGTGGATATTAGTCGCAATCAGAATGATCATTACAGATGATAAAAACGGCTTTATGGTGAGTAAAAGATTTATGGCTTACATATTCAGTCTGTGTCACAGCACGATGCGCCTTATGCTGTCATTTGTAATTATAATTTTACATAATTTTAATGTAATGTTAGACTCGATATAAGTAACAGCATGTGTATTACATGCCGATTTCCCAGTGAACATTGAACAATAGATGTCTGCTGCCCCCTTGTGAATGAGACCTTTTAGCACCCTTGGTCTGGTGAGTGTTTTGTCCATACTTGTATTGTCAAAGGTCATTTATGCCACATATAAAGCTAATATCTTATATAGACTTATACTTTTGATTCATATTTTGAATATTTAAAGGGATAGTTGACCCAAAAATGAAACCTCATGTCATTCCAAACCTGTATGCATTTCTTTCTTCTGCTGAACACAAAAGAAGATATTTGATAGAATGCTGATAACCAAACAGTTTCAGTCCTCATTGACTTCAGTTGTAGTCATTGGAAGTCATTGGGCCTGAAACCATTTGGTTATGAACTTTCTTCAAAATATCTGAGGAATATGTGTCATTATTTACTCACATAAGGGTGAAGAAATTACAGAATTTTCATTTCGGGGTGGACTGTTTCCCATTAACCAATAACAACTCTTGTCTGTCTTACGCCTGTGTCTCTGTGGTACATATGGCCTCCCACAGTTCCCGGAGGTACAACACAAACACACACGTCTCAAGGCTCCTGAACAGTCAGTACATGTTGAATCTGTCGGAGACATGAGCTCTTTGAAAACGAGAAAATCAAACACATCGAGAGCCGAACATCTACAGAGAGCACACTTCAAAAACTATTATGAAATGAAAAGGTTTGTGGAAGAGCGGGAAATTCTGTGCAGAGATCACAGGAGATCGATGTTTTTGATCAACAAAGAAATACAAGAGCTTCAAAAGACCTTGATAGACATAAACCTGATAAGCGGATATTGTCACGAAGCCTACGCTGTTCATCTGAGATCAGTGAGTACAGCCTTTTCAACTTGTAAAGAATCCAAGAAAGCAAAGAAATGTGGTAATATTGATTTGAATGTTGAAAGTGGTAACTCAATGAAGTCCAACTGCATGTTTGGCCAGAAGCATGACGGTTTAGGTGATAAAACCTCTGGTGATTGTGAGAGGGAGCTGTCAGAACTCAAACAGCACACACTGACTCCAGAAACCTATAAAACATGCAGCACTAATACCTATGTTTCACCACATAAGGATTTAAAAAACAGTAAGGATGATTATTTCAAAGCCTCATTGTCTCATTTTGAGATATCCTCAAGTGAATGCAATGAAAAAGATGAGGATAAAAGTGATGGACGTCCTCAGAAGACTTCAACCAAGAGCCCTTCACATATCGCAAAGACAGATCTGAAGAACAGTTCCTCGCCTCCTACACATTTCACCCTTCACAGAAGAGCAAAACAAGCGCATCAAAGGCGACAAAAAGTTGCTCTTCATATGCCTCCTGTACTGAGGACATCCTTACGTGAGCAGAATGGTTCTTATGATATGGGTATACAGCAGCAAGACCAAGATGGCAAGACGTTGTCAAGATACTTACAAAAGAAAGACAGCATGAACAATGGCAGAAGTCACATATCGAAGGCAGTCATTAAACACAGCCTTGAGCTGCTCATCGAAGAATACGATTGTTCTCAAAATGCTGGAATTTTGAACAACAAGCAGAGGGATTTGCATGAAAAGGTGTCTAACTTTGTATCAGAGCTTTCAGAGTTCAGATGTGACGTGTGACGTTTGGTTCTTCCGTCCTCAGAACTAGCACATCATAACATGTCAGATAACAATGATAACCATCATCCTAAAGCAGTGTTTCTCAACCCTGGTCCTGAGTGCCCCCCAACACTGCACATTTTGTATGTCTCCCTTTTCTGACACACCCATTTCAGGTCCTGGAGTTTCTTCTAATGAGCTAATGAGTTGAATCAGGTGTGTTTGATTAGGGAGACACACAAAATGTGCAGTGCTGGGGGGCGCCCAGTACCAGGGTTGCGAAACACTGTCCTAAAGTAAATTAGAGTAATCCATCCCTTGTTTCAAGGGCTATGGGTTCTTGAATTTTAAAAGCAATTGATTTGTAAAGCTTTCCATACTGTTATAAAACCCATCATCCTCTGAGGGATTCGATTCCTTTCTTCTATCTGATTCACAGTTCATGCACGGCTAGACATAATGCCCTACATTCAGTTCATCAATAGAGGCATCAATACCCTGCAATGTTTCCAGGCTTGTAAAAGAAGCACGGACTCTTTTTATGGAAGAGATGTACTTCTTTTACAAGTTTACAAGAGAGGCTGCTGCTAATAGTATGTCTTTCCACATGGCTTGTAGGTTAAGAATGTGTGGACATTTAAACACTTTTTTTTTTTTTTCTACAGCAGATTAACAAAATGGCTTTAAAAAGCATGTTTGAAGATAAGAATAAATCTAGTGTAGACAAAGCTAATGTACTGATTTCACCATGTCTTAATTTGTTATGATAATCAAGTAAATCTCATATCGATATAAAGCAAGCTAAACATTGTATAGGTGAGTAAACATTAGCTGTGAATTATGTAGAGTGCAAACTTTCCTTAGCAGAGAAACCAAACAGATGAAATCTTGGCTAATGCATTTTAAACACATCTTTGTATCCCTGTCACACACCAGTGATTCTCAACCTTTTTGACACTTTGACACTTTTAAAAAAAAGTGTCAAACCCCGCACAAAATAAGGGGGTAACATCTTAAATAAAATTTTTTTTTAGTGATGCCATAGAAGAACCTTTTGGTTCCCCAAAGCACCTTTGTTCTTTGTTCTTAAAATAACCAATTTTCTTAGTGTGACGAACATTTTAATAGTCTAAAGAACCCCTTTCCACTATACACTCTTAAAAAATTAAGGTTCCGAAAGGTTTTTTTTTTTTTGCAATGTTGTTGTAGATGAACCATTTTGGGTTTCCCAAAGAACTTTTCAGTGAACAGTTCTTAAAAGAACCATTTTTTTCTTAGATTGAAGAACATTTAAATAATCTGAAGAACTTTTCGCAGTATGAAGAACCTTTTTGGAATGGAAAGGTTCCATGGATGTTAAAAGTTCTTCATTGTTGTAAATTGTTATTTGTTAATATATATAAATGTAAACAAAAGTTTGCAGAAGCCCTTGGTTGAGAACCACTGTTCTAAATCTTTGATCTAATGACTTTTTTTTTTACAGACAAATGTATATTGTGCCCATTCACGAATTTCTTTACAGAATAAAAATGTTAAACATGCATTTTGAATGAGTTGGACTGGCTAGTGAAGGTAAAGCGGCCAGCACATGCCCAGCAAATGTTTGACTGGTAGAGTATTGGTACAAACAAATATGTAATTTTTGTTGCTTGCAAAGATAGTTTTTCTTTTCCAAATTTTCCAAAAATTAATTACAAAATTGCCTGATTTTGTCCAAAACAAATGTGTCAGCATATTTAGTCATTAAACTGATCATGTCTTTATTAAACTAACAGAGGCATTAGATGGTTGTGTGTGTCTGTGCATGTGTGAGGTGATCTAAGAAAAACACAAGTGCCAGGAGACTGCGGTGACATGTGGCACATCTCCCACACTCTGAACAGGTTGTAATGAGAGCCAGTGGGGTTTCATCGTAACCTAACAACTCTTGTGTTTGTTTCTGCAAATCTGTCAGGGGTCTGTAGATTGCTGCTCTCTTGATGAATTCACACACTCTGATTTGATTGCCTCCTCACTTTTCCAACAACATGCTCATATACTTGAAAGTTTTGGAGCTTTTTGTTTTTCTTTTTTGCTTTTACCTAGCAAATATGAATATAATTTTAAAAGCATTGTGTGAAAAGCCCATTTTGAAGTGAATTTTAGTAAACACAACCTCATAAGATAATTTGTGACATTCAAAGCTTGATTGACTAAAACTGGTAATCAATTCAATTGAGTGGTTTTATTAACCTACACTGAGCAAAGAAATGTACAAGCACTACAGAGGAACATCACGTAACAGCAGGCCAAAAAGTTTAATCATAATCAGTGCCAGACGCTCTTGGGGTGATAATCACTTGATTCCTTGTGGAGAAGACCAACAGTTTACCACCTGACAATCCAAATTACACCAGTGAAGCAAGTGAGTTTTTTATATTAAAGTCACATTTATTCCATCCCACACAACAGGCATCTTCACATACTGGCATCAATGCCAGAGAGAGAGTTCATTCATACCACAACAGCAAAATTCTCCTAAACATTAAAAATAACAGCAATTGCAAAGCAAACATGACTTTTAAATTGGTTGCACAATAGTTATGAATGCTTTAGAGATGTGATGACCAACAAAACCTTGACAACTGATGTGAACAAACGACAGTAAGAGAATTTGGACATAAAAATTAATCTCATGCATGAAATCCATATTTATGATGCTTAAAGTATGATGTAACATTTAAATGTATTAGCCTCGCATACTCACTTTGGAAAAGCCATCAGAGATGAGTGAGTGACCTCTCCCCCTCATTGAATAAACACTCTTGGTTGACACCAAAAAGTGACCTGCTGAATTAATCATAAAAATAAAGTTACGTTTTAATACACAGTGAAAGCTGTAAATAGCAGATATCCCTCTTTGAACCGTATCTTTAAATGGAGAAAGCCCACTAACAAAAGTAAGCATTGTAATACTGTGCCTACATGATGATGAGAAATATTTCCCGAAAAAAAGCACACAATGTTAAGGGTCTTTCTAAAGTCCTTGGTCCCTCTAAACGGTGTGCCAATCGTTAGTTGAAGATGACGGCTTTCCACGGTTTGCCCGTTTCGAAATGGCTGGCTGTGCAGGGGTAGGAGAAGAGGAAAATGGCCATGCTGAAAATTGAAACTCAGCTCAGCAAGTCTGGTTGGAGGCCAATCCTTTGAAGCACATCCTCAGGCATGCAAAACACAGGGTTCACTGGTTTGATCTGCTCATCTCCCAGCAAAGACAGACCAGCCACACCAAACAGAGTGTGGAAAGGATCCACCTGGATGGAAATATAGAACACTGGCAAGAATGCACTGCAGAGACTGATAAGCTCTGTATAAAGAATGGCAAGTCCTAGAGAAATGACATGCAAAATATTTATGCACATGCAAAGTTTTATGTGACAAATTCCAAAGAGAGCTAACCATGTCTCCAGGCCTATCAGCGAAGCCTCCAGTCTCTTCATCCTGGCAAGCAAGAATAAAATTGCGCAGTTTTGCTTTGTCAATCCAGTGAATTCTGCCAATGATCTTCAAAGAGGCAAGAACCCACCAGGAATAGCAGACATCAGGCAGCTGAAATCAGAGAAAAAAATTAAATCCACAGTTGTGTTTGGTCTCTCATAAATAATATATATAAATAAATAATTAAAAATTATAATAATCTAGTATTAAGTTTTGAAAACATTACATTTTTATATTTTACATTATTTTACACTTTATATTTACATTATATTTTAAAATTTTGTTTATTATTATTTATGGTCAATTTTAATATGTTTTATATGGTTAGCAAACAGTTTTAATTTAATCTATATTTTTAATTGCTATTTTACATTTTTATTTAGTTTCATTATGCTAATAATTTTAGTTTTAATCTTTTACAACACAAACTGTACCATTTATGACCCAGTTATACTGACTGGATCAGATGGTCCCTTCATGAGCAGAATACACTGACAGTCAAATATCAGACTTGGGATTCATTTAAATATCCAGCATTGTCTGAAAATATAACTAGTTTTCACTTTTTTTTAAATCACACTTTTTTATTAGTTAATATCTTTGATCTAAAGGACATCTTACCTTCTCTGGTCTCCCATTCAAGCCTCCTGATGGTAACTGTCTTTCACAGAGCCACCAACCCAACAGATCTGCATTTACTTGATGAAGCTGCCCAGTGATCGACAAGAAACCTGTACAGCAATAAATCTAGAGACAGGGTGAGAAAAACATATGATTACAACGTATGAATACACTAAAACGGTTTAAAGGTGGGCATTAAATACCTCAAACACTTTACCTGACCAGCATGGGACTCTGAACCAGGCCTACAACCAAACCCACCATCAAAGTTCATACAGGACAGCACAAACTCAACAGCCTTGTCCATGTTGATTGCATCCAACTTGCCCTGCACAGAAATGTGTCATGTTATATGTATTTAAAACCTTGAAATGTTGCAGGAAACACTATAAAAGACAATTAAATATAATACTTGAATAGAAAAGAATTCAGACCAGTAGTGCCAATGTCGCAACCGCACAAAAGGAAAACCGTGTATCTATTTCTCCTGTTAAGGAACAAAAGCGAGCATTCATGAAGTCATATAATACTTAAAACTGTTTATTCCAGTAAAGACTGAAAAAACAAATAAATGTACCCCATTTGTCTCCTGCGAATGAGCCATCCTCCTGCTGCAGTCCTTTAACATAGTCTACCACTTTGTCTACATCAGTGACATTAATGCTGTCATACAAGGACAGGATCTAAAGGGAGTAACAACATTTTTTTTTTTTTCGTTAATTCCCACTTTTGAGTAGTCTTTTTTTTTATGACCATTTATTAATTATTATGATTGCCTTCTAGATTTTGTAGATTCCTGCGGTTCATTCGAGACAGCTGACCCATCAGGTCCATTACTGTCAGACCCCAGTAGATGCCACTCATTCTCAAGTATTCGGACAGCGTGTACTCCTGCAGGAGATGGTGCAAAATACACGGGAATTAACCTCTAATTTTATTCATTTTTGGAGGAAACCCATTTTTGCATCTTTTGTAAGCCATCGACTTACATAGTCATCCTTCTTGGAGCCATAGGCTGCAATATAGTCGGCATGCTTGTCTAGGAGGAGAGTGTTTGGAGCATCAGGTTTAATGACCACGTCTTTAACCTGGGTCCCCTGCAAAATAAGGTTGCCGTTATCACTTTCTGACAATAAGCTGAAAAACTGCAGTCTGACACATTCATTTTAACCCAGGCTGTAAGCTGTGCTGAACTGACTGGGCGGGCGAGCGACATGACATGTTTTTGCTGCTCTCGTTCTCATCGTTTGGTGTGTACTTCACAACCTTCACAATCGCAGTTGACCGCATGCTCTTTCTTTATGGGGAAAACATGATCTCATATGATCAATTAAATAACTATAAAAGCAAAGTAGTGTATTTTACATTACCATCCTGACGGAGAAGCAAGAGAGTGGACTACAGGCTGACTTCCGTCACACACATATTACATCATCACATTCCTCGTCATTTCTAAGGGTGCCCGTAAAGGACAGTATAGACGTTATTATGGGAAGCTAACGTTGATTTTGCAAATCGGATTTAAACAACGGAACCTCAACAGAATATTTGCTGCAATGACGTGATACAAATCACCTCAGTCACTACAGCTGCATTTTTTCAAACATACATAAGTGCAGTTAAATCTTTCTGGATTTGAATATTTGATGCTTGACTGTGAATAGTGACAAAACTTAACCTGTCCAACGAGGTAAAATGAAATTCTTGACAAAAAACAGGTGAATAATATTTTTGTGTCAGTGTATCAGTGTTGTGTATGGAAGTCCGTTTCCGCCACTGAATAAAAAATAAAAAAGGTTATTGCGACTTTTTATCTCACAATTCTGACTTTATTTCTCGGAATTGCGAGTTTGCATCACGCAATTGTGAGAAAAAAAGTCAGAATTGTGAGATAAAAAGTCGCAATAATATATATATTGTTTTTTATTCAGTGGCGGAAACGGGCTTCCATAGTGTTGCAAGAGGAAACGCAGTCGGTAAACAAGATAAAGCTCTGAAAGACAGAAAAAGAGTGGCAGAGTTATATAATAATAATAATAATAATAATAATAATAATAATAATA